TCTGTTTGCGTATAATATTGTGCCAAAATTCAATTAAATAGTATACTATACTCACGCGTCTTAGAATTTCCAACGAGCTGTCAAAATTTTTTTGAAAGAAAAAAGAAATGAATATTATTTTAATCGTGCATATTGCGCAAATATTTTAGTTACTTTAGTTAAAGTTACGGAGTGTTTTTTCTGAAATATAGCATGTTGAGCAATAGCCTTATTTCGTTACTTAGATTTTGGAACGATATTACATGTAATTTAATGAATGATATTACATCTAATAAAATCAGGTTTTACAATTATGGTACTTATTGTGTAACAGTAAAAAATTATATGATATGTTTATATCGTAGAATAATTTGTCTGCGTCTATAAAAAAAAATATACAAAACAATGTAATTTGTACTTCCTTACACACACACACGCACACACACACACACACACACACACACATCAATATTACCTTGTAAAAATTCGATGACTCCTGTAGCTTCGTGAGTAAGACGGAATTTCCATTTTGATGGACCACGTACAGCTCCAAATAAAAGTTTATTTTAATAAATTTTCGTTAGTTTTAATGCAGACGTTATCATTGACTGACACAGATCAGTATTATTCATTTAATTCTTTTTTTTACATAGCATTGTCATTTCAATATTTCACACTCAATTCACATATTCGATTCACATACGAACAATTCACTGGAAGAAATCACGAGAAATCTATTAACGCATCTATCCGTTACGTACTTTACAATCACTGTCGATTAATTAATTATCCGTCTATTGAAACATCACACGAAAAAACACACGGCTATTTATTAATACACGACCCGTTCATTCAAGGATAGCAAGTAGTCGACTGACTTTAATACTAAATTTATTAATTAATAATTTTTAGTATCGATTAATTATTTGTCGACTAAAAAATCACTCGAAAAAAGAAACACACGACGCGTGCACTTTAAGCGTAATTGTCAATAAAAAAAGTGCTTTTGACATTAGAAAACTGTATTTTGCAGAATAAGATTTCACTTGTTATTTATTTAATTATTTTATATCATATAACAGAAATTCGTTGGTGATGTACAAGCAATATTTATAAAACTCGAACAAATTATTTATCTTAAGTAATAATACATTTTTAAATTTGTACTAAAAGTTAATTATTTATTTATTAGTAAAACATTTTTCAATTGACATGTCAATTTCGTTATCAATATTGTTTTGCAGATCGTCGTCGACTTCCAATTTGGCGTTCTCGCAGTTCATACCTTGACAGCGTGCACAAAAACTGGAGCCCTGTATGCCAAGTTTTTTGCAACCACAGTTAAATCGGCAATCTTTGACACATTTGCATGATATTAACGTCAGCAATGACTGTGGTGCAGAGTCTTAATTCATACAAAGAAGCATGAATCCATTCTTTGTTGATTTCCAACCCCAATGTAGTGGATTCAGCATGTGTCCACACCACAATTGATTTTGGTAAAATACTGGCTTCCCGTGTAATTTTGCAGCATCAGCAGTTGATGGCAGACACGCTGGAGTGAACGTGGAATTTTTCAACTGTTTTATGAAGTATGAGAGACGGAGCTTAACCAAACAAGTATCATTAATCTTAGCTCCATAATAGCACAAAACAGCCGTGAAACCTTTTCTATTGCTTCACTTGTTGCGTTTTTATCTGTGAATATTTCCATTTTTTCTCGAAAATCGGTGAAATTTTTTAAAACTTCATAAACTTCGTTTTTCCGATATTATAAAGTCCAGAAGTGGTATTGCAACCACTGAATACGTGTATAAAGCCAAGTAAATGTTAACATTGAGGATGCAGGAAACTATTTCTATTGTACAATGTTTGGGCTGTTGTGTTGGTACCGGGTTTCAGAACATAAACGTTTATAAATTGTGGTGACTGCATTGATAAAAATACGAGAAGATCTATATCTTGACCGACAATGATTATATTTTCATACTGTTACGATTTCACTAGTGCAGTGGTGATAATTAATACATCCGCATCTTCTTCTGCTTGTACAGTATAAATATTTGCGGCATTCATCCTCTCAATAAAAAATGCAATGAATTGTTTTTTATTATTTTCATTGGCGAAAAATTTATTTGGTTTTGATAGAGATTGGAGATCTGCCTTTACCTGTATCCCTGGGCCGACGTGTTTGCTCCGACGTAAACACTCAGCACTTTTCGTTCCTTTTTTTTTGCAGCATCGTCGGGGTAGCCATCGAAAACTACTGTGAAATCGGTAGAATGCTTTTGAATGAGTAATATACTTGTCACAGATTTCAGAAAATGTATTGGTTGGATTCCAAACAATTGCAGTAAATATCCGCCATCAATAACATGAGCAATGTTACTTAATGAGTCATCTTGCACAAATGTGAAGAAATTGTACAAGTCGAATTTTTTGGTTTTCTCATACCGTCATTGTCAAATATTGACAGTGGATATGGTGCCAATTCATATTTGAAGTGTTCTTAAAGTTCTATTTGTGACTCACACAATGAATAAGATAGGCCAATATACGGTTATACCAGGATCTTAGTGCTACAATTATTTTAATTATTAAGTTGTAAGATGATGATTCCTCCTTTTTACGAGCCACGTTGTTGGACGTTGATTGTCGAGAGGGAACGGAAAGGCTCAAAGAATGAGGAATAAATCGTAAATTGTCAGGTCGAGCGAATAACAGAGAGGAACGGTAGTTGGGTCAGGAGAAGGATGTAATACGAACGTAGCCAAAACACAATATATTTGCTATCGCAGATTATACACTTTAGTACGCGGGAAACGTAAAAGAAAAACTATCAGAATGATATCTGTACTATTACACGACGAAAAGGCGAGTCTGCTTCTTTCTCGATGCCTATGCAACTACTTTTTTCTTCTTCCTCGCTCTCACCCAATCACAGGCAAGGAGCCGCTGCGCGCGCATGAATACGGCGGAAGGATACTTCGCATTTCTTAAGCCCGGTCTACAATTGCGTAAACGTAGACGTAAGTGGTTGTGAATTGTTGTAAATCGCAGTTGTAAGCTGCTGCTACTAGTTGTAAATTGTGTTGTGAAAGATGGTTCAACTTTATCTTTCACGACTACGACTGCGTAAAACGTAAGCGTCAACCAATGAGAGGGCTGACACGTGTGTTGACACGTGATCGCGTCATCATAATTCTTGTTGTCTCGATGCCGGATGCATGGAAATAAATGATTATTATCTGTGTAAACGATCTGATATTGTTCTCAAAGCTTTTGTGTTTTATAATACGAATAATATTATGGATAATATTATGGAAGAAGAATATAACAATGCTCAGTTTGAAGACGAAGGTTCGTTGAATTTGTCTAGAGAATTGATTGCGCTGGTAAAAAGTAAAGAGTTTTTATGGAAGAAAAGGTGTGTTTCATACAAAGACCAAGAAATGAAGAGTTTATGTTGGACGAGCATCGGAAATGTCTTGACTCCTGCACTTTCTGGTAAGTTATATAGTGAAAATAAGAAATCCTGTTACAATTTTCAAGTAACATAATTGAGGTTAAGTACCTTAAATAAATTATTACACTATCCTTTTTTTGTGTTTTAATTTTTCAATAACAGGCAAGGAGGTTGAAAAAGAATTCTATAAACTGCGTCAAAAATTCGGCAGGGAAGTAAGAAAAGAAAAAGAAAGCGCCCCGCGATCAGGAGCTGGTGCAGGAGAACCAACATATATTAGTGACTGGCCTTTGTATAAGGATTTAGAATTTCTGAAAGATGTGATTAAACCGAGACGGTAAGCTAATACTGTAGAATATTATATTCTTTGTTAATTGATCAATTAATTATATCATACAACTAATGCATGAAAATGTCAAATTTTTCTCAGAACAATATCAAACATTGTAAAGAAAGAGATAAATCAAAGGCCAAGCGCCTCACCTTCTCCACCAACAATAAAAATAGAGAGCAGTCAATCTTCACCAGCAATAAAAATAGAGAGCAGTCAATCTTCACCAGCAATAAAAATAGAGAGCGGTCAATCTTCATTACATTTGTGGAATTCAGATTTAGAAAGCAGCCTTTTATCAGGTATACAAGCTACCATTTTCTGTTAACGCATATGCATTTTTAGTAATTATTTCTTTCATATATACTTTTTATAGAATCTGATGGAGACAATTCTTTATCAAACTCATTACCATCATCATCTTCTTCAAAACGATCTGTTCCTGCACCAGATTACTCTTATGCAAAGAAAAAAAAACTTCAGGATAATATGGCTATGGCTATAAATAAACATTCAGCTAATTTAAACACGTTGACAGACAAGATCACTAAATGTCTTGAAAGTCCTGCTCCTCCAACTCAACGAAATCAGTCACCAGAGGATGCTTTATTTCTATCTATTTCAGCAGCACTGGCAGGAGTGCGACAAGAAAAACGATTAGCATGCGTTATTGAAGTGTTGCAGATTGTGCAAAAGTATACCTCAGAAAAAGAATAAAAAAACTCAGTGTTAAAGAGATGATTTATATGTTTAAAATCAGAAAATAATATAATTTTTGTTATTCAATGTTACAAAGTAAAAACGTTTACTTTTTTTTACAATAAATGATATTAATTTTTATAATAAAAAATAATATTTTTTAAATAATAAAGAAACGTATTGTTTGTATGAAATGATTGAATTTAATAATAAGATGACGTACCTGTGAAACGCTTTAATATTATAATAAAACAAATATATAATAGTAATATATAAAAAATGATAACTGTTCTAAAATATAACAATTCCAAAGTATAATAAATTCTTTGTCAATAAGTCAAATACTATAATCATTTTTTCACATGCTTTATTTTTCTGTTTTATCAGCACTGGCAGAAGTGTCACAAAAATATAATCTTATAATATTTTACAAAGTATTTTATAGTGGAATATATTTTTAATTTGTTTTAATTTCTAGTATAAAAGAATTTCTATTACTAATCTTATCTTACATTATTAACTGAAGCATAATAATCAAATTTTCCTTAGAACAATATTAAACATCGTAAAGAAAGAGATAAATCAAAGGCTAAGCACCTCATCTTTTCCACCAGCAATAAAAATAGAGAGCAATCAATCTTCACCAGCAATATATTCTATTCTATTACTATACATATATCGATTATTAATCATCTTATTACTATCTGTATATTTATTATTATTTATATATTATTATATTTATTAATCTTATATGACAAATTTTATTTCTAAAAAGACCCACGGAATGCTTGCTCATACTGCCAAGGGGCAGCTTCTTCACCAGCTTCTGATATAAAATAGTCACAAAGCGTATCCCGGAACTGAGCGGCTTTTCTAGCTGGATTATTAGAACCAGTTCGTTTAATTCTTTGCAGTCCTCTTTGATTTTCTTCAATCCTCCAAGCTCCAGGAATAATGTCCCCATTTTCATTGTCATGGTCTACATAAGTAGAAGGACAGTAGTTTCGACGCTGGAACGTATCCTTATTTTGCTCTGTCATTATAAAATTGTGTAGACACACTAATGCTTGAATTATAATTTCTACATTATAAGGATAGTGGCATATAGGTCTCCTGAGAATGCGCCATCGAGATACGAGAATACCGAAAGTATTTTCTATAATTCTTCGCGCATGAGAGAGCCTGTAATTAAAGATTCGTTGTTTATCTTGCAATGTCGAACGTGGGTACGGTCTCATAAGATAAGATTTGAGGGGAAATGCCTCATCTGCTACAAATACATGAGGGAAGTTTATATCACTTCCAGGTGGCATTTTTAGAAGGGGAAGCTTTGCTTTTCCGTGTTCCAAATCATTAACAAGTATAGAATTAGCCCACACTCCTCCAT